CATGAAGTCACTGTTTTTGGCTTTGTATTACCCCTTGTTTTTACTCAGTATTCCTCACATGTACAAAATATAAGAAAATTGAAAGAATCAAATAGGCCAAAAAAGTTAAATCAGTTGTACAATATTGAGGAGTTGTCCTTGTGGTTTCTCTGCACCAGGTGTGTTACCTTAGGGCCCATATCTTCCAAGGGAGCACACCAATAAAGCAGAAATGTTTCCTGGTTTTGTCATGCAGGGAGATTTGCCATTTTAAGAGCAGTTTATCCAGATGTACGGAATAAATTATCAGCATGGGATAGGCTATTGTTTGCTATCTGGTGCTATCAATATTGGCTTTTGTGAATGATTAGCAGCACATGCTTTTGGTATGTCAATAGGTATTAGATCACAGTATTGGCTTTCTGTAGTAAAATGAGCACATTTGAGCAACATAATCTTCATTACTCTGCTACATGTATGAATATAAATGTGCAAGCATGTGTTTGTCTCTTCTCACATATGCCAGTGTGTTTTGGATGGGTATGTGTGTGCTTGAATGCTATTACTGACATACATAGTGTGTGTTTCTGCTCTGCTTCTCTTGCTCAGCCCGTTTTCATTCACTTACTCAATTTTCCATAATGCTCTTAGTGAGCCAGAAATTGCATGTGTACAGTAATAGGCCACAGTCATCTGTGATGTCCCTATCAGTTTTACCTGAGAAGTTGTAGTCTGCTGTCACATCCAAAGATGGGAAACTGTAATGGTCTTTTAAAATCTCCTCAGACACTGAACATGAACTCCAGAAACACAGAATAATATTGCCCTGATAAGCAGCTCAGAATGGCACAATCTCACCTGAGTAGAGGAAGAAGTTTGGGGGTGACTGTGGGTAGAGCAGTCGTTTCCTAACCGGAGGGTCGGCGGTTTGTATCTCGGTGCCTGCAAAGTGTCCTTGGGCAAGACACTGAATCCCCAAGTTGCCCCCCGATGGTTAGAGCCATCAATTGAGTTGGCGCCGCAGATGGCTGCCTCGGTTCTTTACTGGAAACTAATTCCTTGTGTGTAACATACTTGGCCAATAAAGGTGATTATCCTTATCTTGTTTCTGGTGCAGAACACAGTTTGCTTTGAAAAAGTGAATCTGCAACTGATGATAAACACTTCATATGAGCTCAGGCAACCCACACACTCACCATTTTAGATCATTTCACAAAACATTTGACATCAGAGCCGCCCATTCATTTACAGACATGACTCAAGTTAATCCTCAGATGGCTTCAAATAAATTAGAACACATTTATCAGCAGCCCATCACCACCCTGCTGTGACAAAGTTGGCTGCTTCTCCTGAGTGAAGAAATCAATTCTGATGTGATTTCCCTCCATATGAAATGTGCTTGTGTCACTCTGGACAATGAAGTGTCACTAATACATAGTACTGAAAATGTGAAAGTTTTTAATTTAGTAAATTTAAAAAAGTAAAATATTTTTGTGATTGTCAAGAAATCCCAGAAATCGCCAAAACCAACAATGGCTTTGGTGAGTTAGTACATCTCTTACAGAGGTGAAGGTCACACATGTGCAAGTCACAAACAAGTCTCAAGTGTTAACCTTCAAGTCTCAAGCAAGTTCCAAATAACATACTTCCAATCAAGCAAGTCCAGTTCTTACTATAAGTCAAGCAAGTCACAAGGCAAATGACACCAAATTCTGATGCTCTATCCCACTTTTCACATTTAGATTGGTTAAACGATAGTGGTCACAAAAAGTTGTTTGATTGTATGTGTAGGTTGTAGACTAACCATTAGCTATTAAATAAAAAGGTATACCATTCATGGTTATCAGAAACTCTTCTTAATAAAATGCATAATCTATTCACAGCCAACTCTAACAGCGTAAATGTACCAATAGCCAACTGCATCCTGTGAGCTGCGTTGGCATTTCAGAAGAAATCACCTAGTTGTGCTTCAAAAACCAAATGTGTATTCTCAAAATCTACAAAAATGAGATGTAGAGAGTGAGAGAGAGAGAGAGACAGAGGAAGAAACAGGTCGACTGTCAAGGAGAGTATTTAGAGCAATGTTTTCATGAACAGATTTATTCATAGTGCTCATGTTCTCATAGAGAAAATATAGTTTTGCACCATCTGTTTGCTGTCAGTTGTTTAGCTGCTGTTCTCCCTCTCCTTCTCTCCTTCCCTGCCTTCTCTCATCTCCTATCTCTTATGTGATTTCCTTCAGTTCCTCCATCACTTCTACCTGTTTGCCTGAGTGTTTGCTTTCCTTCTTTCTTTCTGCTTCATTGACTTTCTTCTTGTCCTCTGTCACAACCAGTGGCAACACCCGAGTGTTTCACATAAACAGTTGCTATGAGTACACAATATAACCCACTTTAAATGTTTGATTCAGTTCAGTACCCATTATTATATTACATGTAAATGCCAGCTCACCGGCCTGGGCTACTTTTGTTGATCCTGAGAGTCATGAGGAATTTCAGTCAGGAGCTCAACAGCCCCTCTTACTACTCTTGTTCCCTTTCCCCATTCATCTTGTGCCTATCTACCCCTCTTCTTCTGTTTACCTGAAAGGGCCAGTCCCAGAGACATGCCCCTGTGTTTAAAGCCATATTTCAGTTGAGCTCTTTCTTGACACACCCACTGTTACCTGACACATCTTTCTGGAGGGGATAACCTGACCGGGTGGAAGGCAGAGAGGCAGAGAAAGTGATGAATGGGATGATAATCACGTTAGGTGAAGGCGGTGTACTGTGTGACCACATTTTACTGCTGCAATGTGATCTGACTGAACCAAAAACGTTTCCCAGCAGTTCTGACACTTTTAGCAAATACACAGATTAGTGGTAATACACATCATCAATAGAATGGGCTTAATTTTTCATAAAATATAATAGAAGATTTTATGCTTTACAAAAATGATCTGCCTTTCTGATATCAGCAAACTACAAATTGTGTCCAATCTGCAATTTTTCTTTGGTCTGTTTTGTCACTGACAGTGTTCTATATTAGCAGCAGTGGCACTGATGACAGATGAGCATAAATGAGAATATTACAGGTGACAAGAATGACAGATGCCTATATGTGGGTGAAAGGACAAGTGTTTTAGTTCACTGATGGGAAGAATAAATTGGACATTTATGAAGTAATAGAGAGAGTGGTGGGATTTATAGGTGAGGCCTCAGGAAGCATGTGTTGTCCAGATGGTTGTCATAAATACATAGCAGAGGAGAAGTGGCCTATCCCTGATTATGCAGGCAGCAAAATAATGAGGCCGTTAGCTTAGTGTAAACTTCAAAATAGGAATGAGGAAGAACACCTAATAAAGTAGCCGGTGAGTGTTTACAGTGTGTACAGTACTGTATACGTTTCTTTGAGTTTTAGTCCCAACAGCTTTATAACACAGCTGGGGCTGCAGAACTAATGCTTCCTCTTTATTGGTTAAATCGTCTTATTTATTGAAGTTCCCACTTTTTTTCTATCTAAGACATGCAAGACACAATTTTTTGTACCTTTTTACAGATCATCAACCTTTTACAGCTGATTACCTGGTCACCAGAAGCATGTCCTCAAGCATAACTCAAGCAAAACTGAACATTTCTCCTGATTTTGTTAGCCAAAGCAAAAGTATCATTAGCATTTTAGTATGATGTGCATAAAACAAAGCCCCAGCCTTTATACGTTTAGGAGGGTTTCAGTGTGTTCTTAGCCTATGATGAAAAACAACAGCTAGACATGAAAGGCTGATTCAATGCTCTTGTGCTGTTATATGTTAATACATACATGCATATACCTGCACACCTGTTACTTTTTGCACACATACTAAAACACCATTTATATGCATCCTAGCAGACACATAAAATCCTTAAAATAACCACTGGTGTGGCACAAATCACTAGTCACACTGCTGTAAAACAAACAGTCCCACAATATGAAGATGAATGCCTTGATGCTTTTTTGCACATCTACAAGTGTAGGCATGCGCACACACATATATTATCAAAATTATTGGCCAGTGGGTGTCCTTCAGACTTAATTTCCAACAGTAAGAGAGTTCTGCCTCTTTCTGACAAATCTTTGTGTGTCATACAAGACTGTGCATGCATCTGTATGACTTTTCCATGTGTGGTACAGTATTTGAGGCATCACTTTCTGTTATCCTATAAACACGTGTATGTGTCAAGGAAAGAGCACAGGTGCTTCTTGTATTGGTATTTCTGCTAATTGTGGGTAGATAAAGAGTGTTGACACAGCTACTCTCTATGACGAGAATGTACTTAGTGTTACTGTTTGTGTGTGTTGTGTGTGTTTCTATCTGTCCCCAGCCAGTCTAAAATTGGGTGTGATTTTGGAGAGAGTACAGCAAGGAATGTTACAGCAAGCAGTGGAAAACTCCATCTCACTAAGTGTGTGCATTTGTGTGCACATATTCAACTCACATTCTGTTGACATTTCCTCCTTAATTATCGATTTTAATGCAAAGAGAATGTGGCATTTATTTTTCTGATACTCCAGGATGTGTGGAAGTGATTGTAAATTGCACAGTGATACAGGGTTTCTTTTAATTTCTCTTGCTCATATTCTGTATGTACACACACATACACACACACATAGAATAGCCACAGTGCCTTCTCAGTCAGTTCTGGGAGTTGAAGTGGAAATCTCTGTGAAGAAATGCAGTGTGCAAGCCACAGGAGTGACAAACAAGTAGTGGCAACTGAGCTAAATTTTACACTGACATCATTTGCTTACAGGTACAAGTGTGTGTGTGTGTGTGTGTGTGTTTGCCGCTTCCTGCATTATGTCTGTCTCTGCTTCACAGCCTCTCATTCTTAAAAAACAGCCCTGATGTGCCAGGACAGCTGTTTATATCTCACGTGCTTAGTGGATGCACTTCAATGGGTCACATGGTACAGCAGTTTTAGGGACTGTAACACAGGTTTTCTGTTATAGGGTGGTGTGCTTCATTTCAATGACATCCTCTGTTGTCTGTGCTGGTCTTTCAGGGCAGCAACAGACCATAATATAGACAACACCACGGCCATGTTGAGAGAATGGCTGAAGAGAGCCCAGCATATCTACCACTACGTGGAGTGGAGACCCATGGAGGAGCCAAGGTGAGTCCACAGGAATCATTTATTAGCATCTATTCCAACTTGGGTTCTATTCTTGAATTGTTCTGGTTGACTCACATAAATAATGTTTCTTAACAGGATGGTTAAGATCACTTAAGTTAACTTTAACTGTTTTATCAGGTCCTACACAGATGAGTGGGGTCCAAAGCACTGGCCTCCCTCCAGGTTCAGCCATGTGATGAAGCTGAGGCAGGCGGCACTGAAGGCTGCCAGGGAGCGATGGGCGGACTACATTCTGGTGCGACTTGGATGTTCTTTTGAACATTGAAGTACTGAAGTATAAATATGCAATAATGTGTCAAGCAATTGACCATTTATAGTGGATGGTTATATAGTTGGATTTGACAGGAAATGCTCAGCTGTTAAAGCAGCAGTGAGCATTTGGATGGGAGAACCAGTCCCCTCCTGAAAACACATATACAGTAAATCTTAAATCAACCATAACCAAGATACAGAACGTAGGGAGGAAATTAGGGTGGTGATGGGCACAGTGGCAGTTGGCCTAGAATCAGAGCATTCTCCAGAATAATGGTGTGAAGTTTCAGCACCCCAGCCAACCCGCTCAGGAACAGGAATGGGATCAGAGGCGCTGTCAGCATCACAGTCGACCCGCTTGGGAACAGGGACAGGATCAGAGGTGGTGTCAGCTTCCCAGCTGATCCGCTTGGATAGAGGAAAAGAGGCAGTGTCAGCATTCTCGCTGACCCACTATGGAACAGAGACTGGTACCCCAGCATTGGTTTCTTCATCAGTGCACTGGTGAACTGAAATCTCGGTGGGGACGTCTTTGTTGGGCACCGAAGCATGGAAGCTTTGGTGGGGATCCTCTTGTTGGCACACCGGGAAACAGTCACAACAGAGGGGATGCTTAGACCGGGAACAGAGTCAGAAGCACCGCCGGTGTCCCAGACAACCCACTAAGAAACAGGAACAGAAATGGCCTCAGCATTGCAGTCGACCCACTCAGGTTTGGGAACAGAGGTGGCATCATCATCATGACCTGCTCGGGCTCAGGATCAGGGGTGGCGTCAGTGTCCCAGCTGACCCACTTGGGAACAGAAACTAGGGCCCCTGCATCGGTTTCCTTGTTGGCATCCTCGTAAACTGAATCCTTGGCAGGGATGTTTTTGTTGACGCACCAGAGCATGGGAGCGTCCGGCGGGGACGTTCTCGTCAGCCCACCTGGAAACTGTCATACCAGAGGAGACATCTCAACCAGAATACTGGAGTTCTAGGATGGACTGAGTTGTTTGCCACCTCTGTCTCTGACCTCCCTTCCTGGAGATGGAGGGTGGCATGGGGGAAGACAGAGGCTGAGGCATTGAAGCAGACTGGGGCTGTGGTGCTGGAACAAGGTGGTGCTGAAGCTCGGGGACAGGTTGAGGAGAAGAGATCTTCTGCAGATGGCCTGTCTTCCAGGTTCTCCTCTTCCTTAGCCCCCCAGGACACATGGATAGCCTGGTTTCCCAGAATGGTGAATTCTTGGGGTCAGGAGCAGGTGAGTCCTGGTTCGGCTCTGACTCAGGTAACAGGGTGACAACTTCGCGACGGACAGAGATATTGGCTGGCTGAGCCTCGAAAGTGGCACTGTCCCTAGAAGCAGGGTTGGGAGAGGAGACGGGGTCCTCCATTTGAGCTTTAAGCTGTGCTTGGATGAGCCAAGCTTCCCCTGGGCCCAGGCTAGTCTCATCAGACCGGGACTGGAGATACCTGGACTCCAACTCCTTACAATCCTGCCTCACACTAGCCTTTGCATAAATTATCCAGCCCACCAGCTGTTGGGTCTTGGCATAATCCATTAACCAGGGACAAGACTGGTATAGGTTCTCGATGTCAGCACAAACCAGCTGTTGCCAGGAGTTCTCGGCATAGCAAAACCTGTCAATCAAGGCATCTAGTACCAGACTCATGATGAGCATTTGTTTGGTCCGTGGAGTCCTGTCATTGCTGGTCCATTCTGTTACAATAGGTGGGCTTAATCTAGGCCGAAGGACTCAATGGCAGACTCAGACAATAGTACACAAAAGGCTTTATTTAGAATGAGAGTATAAGGATGGGTGTCGCAGACCGGCATCAGTCCTAGCCGATGGGCAGATACAGGGGTCAGCTGAGGAACAGGAGTAGATGCTGGGTTGGTCGGTGGCAGACAAAGATTTTACAAGGCTGGTCACACAGGCAGGTGTGGTGGATGGTGTTGTAGGCAGAAGAGGAGCTGAGTGGAATTTCTGCTGGTGCTGGCCTACCCAGGCGGAGGTAAGATACCCAGGTGAGTGGCGGTCACAGGACTGGAGGTGGTTGGATCAGTGTCGCTAGCAGAAGAAAAGCTGAATGGAAGCTTTGCTGTAGCTGGTGTATCCAGGTGGAGTTAAGGAACCCAGGTGTGTAGTGGTTGCAGGACAGGAGGTGACTGGATTGGCAACCAGGTGAACAGGTAAGTCATAATCGAGGGGAACAGGTAGCTCACTGACAGGTACAGGTGCTAGCCAAGCAGCATCATGGAGAGTACAGTCACAGATAAGGAGAGATCTCACTTGTTATTGAGGATAACAGGTAAGCTGAGTGAGAAATACAGGAGCTAGACAGGCAGTGGCGTGGAGCACGGGTGAGTATAGTGACAGATCATAAGTGGACTTTCTCGGCATCGACGAGCTGGTAAGATGAGTGCCAATGTTTCAGGCGAGGTGAATGAGAGAATGTTACTTGGGTGAGAGCAACTACACACACCAGTAGGGTATTGTGAATTGAGTAATGGGCCAGCAAGTAACTGAGGGAAAGGAGGTGGTATATATTAGCTAAAGACCGGGGGATGTTTAGCAGCAGATGAAACCAATGAACACTGATTGGAACCATGGTAAAGCTGGGGCAAGAGAGGTGGATTGGAACAAGAAGAAAACCAAAATAAGAGCACAAAAACAGGAAACGAGAGTTCGCAAAACTGCTTTTATATATATATATACAATTTTAAGTAAATATAACTTGTCTTTTTTGAATCTTTAAGTTAAAAGATGAACCACAAATTTAGTTGTATATATTACAGTTTATTTTGCATGGTGGGTGACTTGTACTCTCAGTCCTTGCTCCTCTTTAGTTTGTAGACAGCGATAACCTGTTGACTAACCCTCGTGTGCTGAACCTGATGATGGCTGAGAACCTGACCCTGGTAGCTCCCATGTTGGAGTCTCGCTCACTCTACTCCAACTTCTGGTGTGGCATCACCCCACAGGTAAAGTCTGGACTTAAATTCATCCATCCATCCACCCACTCAGCTACATTTATTACCTCAACCTGATGCTCTTCCCCTCTCCTCTCTTTTTCAGGGTTATTATAAGCGAACCCCGGACTATCAGCCAATCAGGGAGTGGAAGCGGCTCGGCTGCTTTCCTGTTCCCATGATTCATAGTACCTTCCTTTTAGACCTGCGTCGTGAATCCAGCAGGGACCTGGCCTTCTACACCCCTCACCCAGACTACAGCTGGGCATTTGATGACATCATGGTATTTGCGTTCTCTGCACGTCAAGCAGGTCAGTTTGAAATCTTCAGCTCACAGCAAACTATTACATTTGTAGCAAGGATGCAAATGCCTCATGACAACTTTACTGAGCCTAAAGTGAGGATCATCAGCGATTTCATTCATTCATTAGTAGTTGATTGAGACCTGCTTTCTAATTAGTGTGTATGTATGTGTGTGCTGCAGTGTAACACAGGGCTTTTTAATTGTTTTATACATGTGTCACATATAAATGGGTCTATTGCTTGTTAACTAGCCAGCAAACATTAGATGGTTTTGATGAGCAAGTGACATTACCAACTGATATTAGGTCAATTCATATTAAGGTAAAATTTAAAAAAAAAAGCTGAGATTTAGAAAGTATAAATGTGTGACTGAAAAATGTAAGTAATAATTTAATAAGTAATTTAGCATGTTTATTTTATTAATGAATACACTTAAATTTACTTTTATTTTACAGAGAATGGTGTGTGACAGATGTACTGTGTATATTTACAGCAGCAGTCTGTTGTTGATTGATTCAGAATAAAATTATTGCTGCTTTAGCTGAAAGAGGCTAAGTGGCTAAATCTGGTAGCAGTTGTTGAGCTTGCTAGCTTAAGAAAAGCACGGGATGTGTGATTGAAAGGCAAAAGGGAGGTGACTGTTGACAATACTGTCAAGAAAAGTTAGACAATGGAATAAAATCAACAGTTTGAAGAGGGGACTTTTCATATAAAATGGTCTGTAATGAAATAAAAATGATATCCAATAAAACTTTATTGTGAAAATAAATCTGAGAAAATAACACACCATAATAATGACTTAAGTTTTATTTTGTTTAATAATTTCATAATAATAAAACTTACTGGTTCATTTAAATACATTTACACAGTTTATTAAAAAACCTTATTTTGTAATGTATTGTATGTAAAGGTAGTAATAATAATAATAATAATAATAGACACTTTGTGGTTCTATAGTGTAAAACAGTAACACTTGATGTGTCTGTTCCCAGGTGTGCAGATGTATGTGTGTAACAGAGAACACTACGGTTTCTTGCCTGTCCCTCTCAAAGCACAGCAAAATGTGGAAGATGAAAGTGAGAGTTTCATACACACTGTCACCGAGGCTTTGAGTGAGTACACACACACACACACACACACACTTTGATTTGTGCCTTCTCTTTCTTGACCACTATGACCCTCCATGATCACATCCTGTCAACCCTCTTTGATTTAATTACTCTCCTCTGTACTGTCTCTCTCTTCTGTTTGTCCAACCCCCACCTCCCTCTCATAGCCCTTGCTGCCTCCTTCTCTGCTCCTCTCTCTGCTCTGATTTTAAATTAAATACCAAAACCAAATAAACCACCACAATCCTGAGGAAATGCAGCAATTCTATAATCCTCTCTGCCGTTTTAACCTTTCACCCTCTTGCTGTCTCTGCCAACAGTTCACCACAACATTGAGCCCTCTGAGCACTTGCACTGTCCACCATCACCACAGGACATGATGGACTTTGATGAAGTGAGTTACAAGAGCACTGGGCCAAGAGCTCAACACCTACTGCCTCTCTGTATATTTACTGTTTTGCATAAACTCCTTCCTATTTTTGTCCCAGTTTACTTCTATGTCCCATGTTTCCAAGTTCTCCTGCTCCTTCCTCTGCCCTTGCATATCCCGTACCTATCTGGCCTTAACTTCTATTTTTTATGCCCTGTACTTGTTAGTGTTTTGCATCTGACTGACAACAAAAAAGTTAATGGAAAAACATAAAAAATAAGGAAAATATTCTTATTTAAATAAATAAGTCTCAGTTTTTTTTTCCATTGAATGTTTAGATTTTTCTGATCAACCTGAAGCGGCGACTGGACAGAAGAACCAGGATGTTAAAAACAATGTCCTCACTGGGTCTACATGCCACGCTGATAGATGCAGTGGATGGCAAGTAGGTCACGAACACACAGCCCTGCATGCACACTGAACTGAACTGAACTATCCTGAAGGCTGAAGTTAATCCTGGAAAAGAAAATTCTCACACTCTGTGGTCAAGTGTTTTTAAGTTTATTCTTGACAACAAAAGTGACATCTTCTGCTGTGATGCACCTTATCTCCTGAGTGTCAGCTGAGATACTACTCGGTCTTCTGTCTCTTGTCCGTCATTAATTTTTCTGACCTGTACATCCAAAAAGAGGTTTGGTGTTTGTAGCAATGTGCTTTATTTACTTTCTCTCCTGTGTGTTAACTTTATTTCACTCTAAAGAATGCCCTAATCTTCCTTCCAGCCTTTGTGTGTCTGGCAATATGTGTTATTTGTTACAACCGGCCAGATTTTACTTATACTGCATGAGTGTATAGATATGTGTAGATACATGAAATTCTCATCACTACCCCTTCTCAATCTCTCTTAGGGCTCTGAATACGTCACAGCTTCAGGCACTGGGAATAGAGATGATGCCAGACTACAAGGATCCTTACTCTGGTCGAGTCCTGACCAGAGGGGAGATCGGCTGCTTCCTCAGCCATAACTCTGTATGGACACAGGTGAGGGCAGCAAGGTATAATGTACTAACTTGTCAAAGAGGAGCAAAGATCCAAACTGTTAAAGTGAAGTCCTTCAACAAGATACTGCATCTCTTCCATCTCCATGGGTTGATGTTATGGGCTCAGTGGCGTCACTCTGCACCTTCAGCCCATTTGCTATTAGTGTATAAACTAATGTATTTTGCACCACATATTTCTGATGAGTCCAGTCTGCCCTGATAATAACATTGTACATACCAGGCTGAGAAGTTAATATGCCACAAGTGTAGCTCACTGGGGAAAAGGGAAGTAACATATGTAACCAGATCAGAAAGGAAACAAAGTGACAAGCTGTTCACATGAAATCACAGCTGCCCTGAAACAGAGTGAAGCTGTGCTTTTAAAGCAGATGAGACCAATATGGAACTGGAATGCCACTCCAATCAGGATGGGAGGGAGGAACATTGCAGGGAGTTGAGGACCCAATCCCAGATGAGCATCCACACAGACTAATTTGGATACTTAGAAAAGTGTTAGATACAAGAGAGGAGGGGGCAAAAGGCCAGGGCTGTAACACTAGAAAGAAGGTTCAGACATTTAAATTGCTTTCTTTCATGTAGCTATACACCATTTAGGATATTGTCATAATTTACAATGCATACTACCTATTGGCTAAGATGATATGAGCAGAGAACTAAGCTAGGAAAAGATAAACTGCAGTGGAATGCCCATGTCTTCCTCTGTGTGTTAGATAACTGACATTGACAAGTGAATGTTTGTACTGTCTGGCTGTCAGGTGATTGAGCGTGGCCTCCAGAAAGTTCTTGTTTTAGAAGACGATGTAAGGTTTGAGCCCAGGTTTAAACGACGGCTACAGGCCATCATGGATGACATCAACAAAGCCCAGCTGGACTGGGACCTCATGTAAGAACGCCCACCCTACCATCTGCTATAAACAACCACAAACCAACTTGCCTATAAGTTTGGATTCATATAGCTTGTACTAATGCTCAGGCAAATATAGTTCTGTTTCTTGAAAGGTTTTACTTTGGATGAATGCCTGTTCTTAAAAGAAACAAATAGCACTAATTAGTGTGAAACCTCATCAGCATGCTCTTTCTGTCTGTGCTTCAGCTATGTGGGACGTAAGCGTATGCAGGTGCAGCAGCCGGAGCAGTCGGTGGAAGGAGTAAACAACCTGGTTGAGGCCGACTACTCCTACTGGACGTTAGGCTACGCGATGTCGTACCAAGGAGCCAGGAAGTTACTGGCTGCACAGCCATTCTCCAGGATGCTGCCTGTTGATGAGTTTCTGCCAGTCATGTTCAACAAACATCCCAAGTCAGTCTCAACTTCAGTTTTCTCTGATTTAAAATTACAGTGCTGCAAAAAGCAATACACATGCACAGATTTCTACTCAAGACATGATGGAGAAAAACTACAGAGAAAGGTTTTATTGTATAATGCTCACACACAGACCCTATCGTGCAGTGTGGTTTATGAACAGACATGCAAATATTTACTGAGGACCACAAATAGATGACTGCAGGTGACCACGTACATAAGAACACATCAGGTAATTCACGTTCAGAGTAAACATGAAGATGCAAAGAAATAAAAGCTGAACTGAAAGTAGAGAGTTAGACAAATTTTCTCCTCTGTGCCAGGCCCCTCTTCTTCTCTTCTTCCCACTCCTTCTTTTTCTATGCTCTCTCACACATAGGACATGGATTGTTCTTGGGGTTCAGTGGGTATGTTGCCTTGCACAGGGCCCACAATGCCTGCTTTTCTTTTTCTTTTCTCCATGGGGATTCCTGTAGTGCCTTGCTCTCCTAACCTCTTCCGCCTCCTGCTTTTTCATCCTTTAATCCAGGCCTCCCCTTTTCTTATCTCTATACTCTCATTCTTCACTACTTTTAATATCTTTTATATTCACCCTTCTCAACAGACCTCTACTTTTGTGCACACCCACTCTCTCCCTGTGTCACCAACTTCTCCTCCCCCTTCCGTCTCACTCTTTGCGGAATGTAGGCCAACACGGCTCTTCCTGCTGGTTCAAGAAGGGGGACAGGATTCCCATTGATAGAGGACTGAGCGTGGGGGTGGGGTAGAGATGGACACTGAGTGTGTATGTGTGTGTGTTACTATATACTGGAAATACATGGCGATATGAGTCCCATGCGTTGTGTAGACCTATGGATTACTAAGTAAATACACAGTGTGTATATTCAATAGTGAGGGAGGGTGAGTTTGTTAAGAAATGGGAACTAAAGACAAAAAATGTGGAAAGGTCACAAAAAATTTATGAGGTGATCTGTTTTACATAATAACATGCTCTGTTTAAATTGTGGATATTACGCCAGTAAAAAAAATTTTGGGATGAGGAGGCTCATCTGTGTTCCTAAAAATCAGTAAAATGCTCATGTTATGGTCTTTTCATAACTGTGTTTTGCTCAAAAGTAGAAAAAAGAAGAGAAAAATGCTAAACACTAAATCTAATAGAGAACATCTCATCGTTTGGAAGCTGTCTTGGGGTGTGTCAGAGCAGGTCAGCTCATAAGGGTGTGGGGTTTCACTGTGCATGTGGAGCGCTGACAGGCTTTAAACAGCGATTGGACGAGAGAAATGTGACCTCTCTGGTGACCTCTGTCTGCACAGGTGTGACTCCACCAGCTTGAGGGTCACATACAAACAGTAGAGTTCAGTACCACATAACTAACTGAGGTGGAATGTTTTCTGCTCATCCCCATCACAACTGATGTTAGTAGTATACTGTTTTGTAATATAACTAAACACATTTACTGAAGCACTTTTGAAGTACTCACCTAAGAACTTCCACTTCATTTTCATTAATTTGTCATAATTGTTAACTGATAAATGGTTTTATCTACAAAATCTGAGTAAGAATGAAAAATGTTAGTTGTCCTTTTGCAGAGATCAAGTTCACTTATTCACATTTCTTGTTTTGTCCACTCAAAAAAGATCAATTCAGTTTACTGTCATGACAAAGAAAAGCATCAGATCTTCATATTTGAAAAGGAACCAGAAATGTTTTGGCATTTCTGCTTGAATAAAAAAGACTGAAATGATTATGTAATTACCAAAACTTTAAATTTTTGAATATGAATGGAGTAATTGTACTAATTCTACAACAATTTCAGAATCTGCTTTATTGGCCGGGTGTGTCGGACACACGAGGAATTTGACTCTGGTACATCAGCTCTCAATGTGCATCCCCATACAAGGGCCAAGTAAAACAGTAAAGCAGCATAAGGCTGTGTAATATTGTTATGGCTAGCCGTTTCACAACAAACAGAGGGGACTCAGAAAAATGCAGGACTCACACTCAGGCTTGGAAAAGCAAATAATTTAATGAATCTTGAAATGAGGAAACCTACGAGGAGACACGAAGATATTGCAGCGGATCTTGGGCAGCTGGGGGCGCTGTATTGACAGGACCGCTACAGGAGCAACCCGGGGTTGAAGGAGAGGTGCAGCGTACTATGTTAAAGCAGAGGATGAGAGAGAGAGGAAAACAGGTATACGGCCATAAAGTCTATATCAAGTATTAAAACAGAGGACCTGAACATAGGTGGGTGCTAGATTTAGACTGGAGAGCGCTGCTGGCCGTGAAATCAGTCCTAGGAGGCTGGACCTGGTGTAGGAGAACATTGGCCAGGTGAGAGGAATCTGTGTAATGGAGGTAGCTGGGGCAGGGTGACATCAGGACAGGTCGAAGGATGACGTGGTGAGGGCTGGAGGCAGAGGTCCAGTGCCGGGGAAAAATAAAAAAAAACACAACTGAGAGCAGAGTACCTAGTGATGTCTAACTGACACCATGACACCTGTATCGAACCACTTCATTTGTATGGATTATTGGTTCATTCATTCAAAGGTTCGGTTTAGTGCCATCTGGTGGCGAAATAGTATGCAGCAGAACAATGTCTGAATTATGTGATGGTGTAACTAGGCTTTATGTGAATGATGTGAAAATGTTTGTATAGACTGATTGGTCAGTCGGTCCAGTCTATGAACGTATGTAGTGTAGTAGGTGGGAGAAGGCGTGCTTGGGGAGACAGAGGATGTGCTAGGATGGCAATATGTATGCATGTAACTAGGACAGGGTGTGAATAAATACAAGGGATGGAGAATCAATCATTTTTATTCAAGAACAAAAGTTTCTCCACTGTCTTTGGACTGAGCTGGTTTTGTCTCTTGCTGACGACCTCTCCAGCCTTGGAGAACACACGCTTACACGGCACCGATGAGACTGGTGTACACAGGTACTGCTGTGCCAGTGAAAACAAATGTGGGTACATGTGTCTGTGCCCGTCCCATTAGGTCAGCGGATCGTCACATCTTCTCATGGGAGGATCTGTCAGATATCGCTGGACCTCTACAGTGGTATCAGCTGTGGAATTTGTGTGTCCTTGCCATTGTAGCTTGGTCATCGAGACTTTGCCACAGGTTGCAGTCTGCAAAACAGAGAAACATGACATTAATGAGCATTGTCCGGTGTCAGTGTGTTTACATATTGTCTCCTGTGCAGCAATAAATACATACCTATAACATTACCTGTGGTTGACGGAGTTTGTTCATGTGGTGCTGCTGGTTAAGGGGCTGATGTTAACGGGCTCATCCATAGCATCCCTGCACATTCAGTAGTCAGACATCACACAGCATGTGCCCTGTCATGACTGTGAAAACCAATGGTCCTGAATCTGGGGTTGAGCAGTGTGGCCAGTGACAGGACGGTTGAGCTCTCAAGAGTGTCAAGCTTATTGACGAGGGCTGCAGACATGTTCTGTCCCAGCTGTCATGTTGGTTGCCATCACATTGGTGGTGTTGTCCAGTCTAGTCAGGAATGTGTGAAGCAACATTTTAATCAGTGGAATGACTTTGAGCTCGACACTGTTCTCCTGGGACAGTTCCACTGTTGCCATGTGAAATTGGGTTAGGCACCTGTAAACATGCCGCTACTGTTCCATAATCCTCAGAAGAGAGAGGATTCACATCTGTTCTGAGTAATGCCAGAGCTGCTCCCACTGTCTGCCTCTCATCATATAGGTGCTGCAGCATCAGGTGGGTACTGTTCCAGCATGTGCCCACCTACTGGATCAGCTTCATCACTGCACAATTCATTTGCAGGTCACCACTTTCCATGCCCTTGTACGCAGGTCTTCTAGGCCAGGTGTTTGATCTAGGGATTTCCTAACCACTAAATTAAGTGCATGTGCAATGCATACAACATGCCTTATGGCTAACATTTAGGCAGTGGCTGTCATGTTTGCTGCAGCATCGGTCACAAGGCATTTAACCTTTCCCTCAATGCCCCACTCCGCCATGAGACCCCTCAGCAGATGCAATGTTTTCAGCAGTGTGGTCATGAGGGAATGACAGTACACCTAAAACCACTGTGGCCAGCTTTGCATTGTCACACACATAATGGCAAGTGACTGCAAGGTATGCATCCATATTGAGAGGTCCACATATCAGATC